TCAATCCTTTTGATCCAAATTTTATCAGAGAAAAGTGTAAATACGTTTGTTTTGTTATCTATAGTTGTTTTTCTGACACATTAACAAATCTTGAAGTTTAAGTATTGTATACATTCGAAGTAAAAAAAAAACCTTTTAAAAGGATTTAAAATATAAAATAGTGTTGATTCTATACGCAATAAATAAAAATAATTTTAAAAGCAAAAACAAATGTTTTCAAAAAACGTGTCAATAATCGAAAATGAACAGCATCAACCTTGATACGGTGCAAAACTAAAATTTCTTTTTCGAGTCGGTAGAAGTATGCAAAAACAATAAGTTTGAACCCCAAATTATTAAAATTTGACCACAGGGCTCTGAGACATGACCGATCACATAAAAATACACATACATACATAAGCACATGTACATACATTTTTGAATTATGAACTTTTTTCATTCTTAACACTATAAAAAACATTGGCAACTGAATTCCAGAAGATTTTTTTTTCGCCGATACAACAAAATTTCCTTAATGAGTTAGCAAAACTAGTGTATTCATAGTATTTTCCTAATTTTTTCCTATTTAAAGGTAATTTGTGATCTTTTAGTGCCGATTGTACATAAAAAAATGTCAGTGCACAAAAATAAATGTCTTCCATAACCCTGCTAAAAAATCTCAAGAAATTTCTGATGTTAAAATCTCACTTCAGAAATTTCTTTACAATTTCTACACCAGCAAAAACGTAAGAAATATGATATTACAAGCAAAATAAGTCAAAATCATAGTTAAAACAGCTTGTGTCAATTATTGTCTTCCAGGAATTCTGCAAAATTCTGCAACAAGGAGGAGTGCATCGAATAAAAATAATAACGCACTCGATTGACCGTCAGATTTGTGCACTTCTTAAGCAAGAGTCTTGCGCACTTGCCTGCACGCAAATCTTGCGCAAATCTGCCGTTAGTGGAAGTGCATCAAGTCAGAATGATAACGCACTCGACAAATCGTCAGATTTGTGCACTTCTTACGCAAGAGTTTTGCGCACTTACGTGCACGCGAATCTTGCGCAAATCTGCCACAATCAGGAGTGCGTTGAGTCAAGACGAATAACGCACTTAACTGATCGTCAGATTTGTGCACTTCTTACGCGAGAGTCTTGTACACTCGCCTGCGCGCAAATCTTGCGCAAATCTGCCGCAAAGCGTCTTATGCACTTGTCATGCATCATAATTACACAAGATCCCGGAAGCAGACCAGGTGCAGACTTACGCACTGCCAGTGCGTAAGATTGTGCTACCGTTCTATAACATCATATCACACGTATCGTAATAATTTAGTGGATCCTAATAAATAATTTGGTAATGTAATTAATCTTATACGACATAATACAATTTTGTGCCAGCTCTATCCTCTCCCTAAAAAAACCTATAAACAATTGTAAGTCGTATGTTTGAATCAGAAAAAATTTATATATCTTACAATATTGTTTAAAACTTGTATGATCCTAAACAGTTGATACAAAATCATCCTGGGATATTCATATGAAAACACTGATCAATATATCAGGTTTTGGTGCAAAGACACACATCTATCCTGATATAATTTTTTTTATCGTGTTTTATCGGAACCATTCAACAGGGTAAAAACGTTGAGAGTATACAATTAATTAAAACAATACTTCAAAGATGAAAATACGTTACATGAAATTGTTACTCTTACTACTCTTACAAAAAACAATTTTAAAAAATATCTCATTCCGTTTCAACTAAAGTGGAATTAAAATGTATGTCAGAATATATATTTGTAATTTAACAATGTCATTCATACCCACATCGCACGGAAAAAAAGCAGTACGGTTGTCTAAAAAGATGAAAAAATAATAAAACAAATCTTAGTAGAACTGAGGGTTTTAGATAATTATAAGAGTATTGCTTATATGAATGCTCCACGCAAGGCATAACTCACATAATGAGTAGTTTAAATATGTTAATGTAATACCTTGTACACGGCAGATCCAGCAGCTGCTGAGGCAGCTAAAACTACACCACCTAATGTTGGACTACCTGTTATACCATCCATATATGCCAAAAGTGCTATGCCAGTATCACATAATATAACAGCAACAATCTACAACAATATAAATATACATAACTTTTAAGTCACATTAATGTTTCTTACTTAGTTGTGACTAGATTATACTTGTATAAGATAGTTAGAGCACACATTACAATATAGAACTTTTTTTTATTCTCCATTCATAAGGATACATTTTTTTTTTATTCGGAAGAGACATAATTAGTGAGCCTAGATAAATGTAAATATAAGTATAAACATAATAGTAACAATAAGATCAGTAATAATAATAACAACAATAATAATATTTTTGACATAATTAACACTAAGAATAATAATAATAAGACTAAAAAGAGTGATAACTGAACTTAAACGGTAGAGAATGTCTTTTATCTAAGAGGGTCGAAATTTATTCGGTTTCACTAATCAATATCGGTTATTCTCTAGAAACTTTTAACAGAAATAGCATTTTTGTTAATAAACTAATAAAAAAACTCTTCCTGGATACAGTTCTGGGCATCACGTTACGTTTGTTTATCGATACGGCACGATAGTTAAACCAAATGTCAAAATAGTAAGGGTTGTACCTTACATTTTAAAACTTTTTTAGACTAATATACCGTATTCTGATTTGCATTTTAGATTGTTCTGTGGATACATATATACATACATACATACATACATACACATATATATATATACATAGAACCGGCAGCTTGAGGATTTTCATACATTATGATATGTAGAGAATTTGATCATGTATAGGAAAATCGTGTAAATATATTGCAGTAGAGATGCGCTTTATATCTTTAAAAGTATAAAAATAATCAATATTATAAAGTAAGTAATGGTCAAGTCACATTTATTAGTTTAAATTTATATGAATAAGTTTAAATTTATATGAATTTGCTTAAATTTATGTGAATCTAGTGTAGAGTTTATAGATGTTATGTGTGATTAGTTAATCAAGAAGAATAAAGGGCGGAAAAATAGTTACAGCCTGGGGGATAATCTGTATTCAAAACTCCAGTCATTTTTATCAAAAATAGGGAGGATGTTGAATAATGACTGCTTGAAACTATAACCCAAGGCTTTTTAACCCAAGATCCTTGCGTAAGAAGTGCACAAATCATGGGTTTGTACTTGTTTCCTATAAAAAAATATATAACAGTATTTTTCGACTTCCTATTCTTTTTCTGCACTTTGTAGCTTAACACTTATTTGCAATATCATTATAAAAAATAAA